TCACCACGCTTCATCGCATTAGTCCCCGCAAGTCGTGCTGTTGCTTTGTGTGAAAGGTAGGCGTTTACTAGTGCCAGATATACCAGGCCCAGGAACAGACTCATGTTATACTTCTGGAACTTCGTCGACGTTTGCAACGATAACTTCTGAAGGTGGCATTGATCGTGAACATCAACGCCGCCCATCCAGCACTGAGAGTCAGTTACCGCAGCCGGACGAGGCACAGTTGTAGGCCCCACACGTTTCACATTTCGGTTGATATTAGACACTGTCATCATCGACCCCGTGCACAAGTAGTACACAGGTTTGCTGTCCCACCAGTGGTACGCAGCCATGGTTGGTACAGCAATACAACGGAAGAAAGTGAATGCACCGCGATGGATGCTAGCTGACCGCGTCTTCCGAGTCGCTGTGACATTCTGGTCAAAAGCAAGCCTGTCCGTCATGATAGTGCCCGGCAACACGGACATTCCGAGAAGCTCGATAGCGAGGAGAACGGAAGGGTAAAAGCGATCAATTATGACCAAGTGCCACGCATGGCGACGGTCTGCGTTGAGAACGACCTACCGGTTTCGGGCGACGGCAGCAGCACCAGTCTTATGATCAAATGAGCTGTCTCCGATGTCACCTGCACTTCCTGCGTACATTTCTAATCTAGCAAGTTACGACATTTGCTATTAGTAAAGCGATCACACGTCATAAGTTACGACATAAAATTTAAGCACAGTATCTGTGGTAGTAAGCGGTCCTAGCATCACACACCATTATCATTTTAGACTTGTAGCGATGAGGTTTTGCTAGCATTAACATTTTTGTTGTATTCCGCTTCGAAGTGGACGGTAAAACGCCCTCATCGAAAGTAAGTACTGCTGAAGGAGTCCAGGCTGCCAAAAAAACCGTCCCTGAAGCTTGTTCACAATCGGTTTAAGTTCCCAGAGCTTGTCCCGTGTCCGTTCACCCTCGTTATCCACGAAATGGAGGTCACGAAGAAGGTTCTGGCACCCATGAAGCAGCCGAATGTTCCTGTTAGAGCTGCTCCAGCCACCATCACGGATCAATGCGCAGCAAAGCGTCGATTTTGTGGGTAGAGTATTCGCGCGATGAGAAGCCAAAGCGCTTGCAGGATTTCGTGTGTGTTGTACGCTGGTTTAGCTTGTAGACGTCGGCGAATCGGAGCTGGTGTCTCTCGAGTCCGATCAAGTTGCTTGGCACGAATAGCTTGGGCACGGCGCGCTATCTGCTGCGTACAGTATCGGCTCGTCTCAACATTGACCACTACCCACAGAGACTTGGCATAAAGTAGAATAGCGTGAGGAGTGGTGAGTGACAAGCACTTCGCAGCTCTTGCACAGGCTTAACCTCTTCTGCTTGAGACTTGGATATGCAGTGGACGCCTCCCCAAACTCGGATGACACAGGGACCACTTTGTCGCTCGTAGCGCACTAGAACGCGCATCCGCAGCTTTCTTGCTAACGCCTTCTTCTCCTATAAAAAAGGACTCGACAAATGATTTGTTCATGTGCGGCGCGTCGTCACCAGATAAAATATCTTCGTCGCTTGGTGTGTCCGATACGACGGCATCATCGTTGCCGTCGTCAACTCCTCCGATGTCACTTACTCCAGAGCTAAAGCTCTTATACGCACTCACCTGTTCGTTCTCTGGGCCAAAATTAGCGTCAGCTTTGATATTGATGCGCGGCCTAGGCAAAACGCCAGGCGTGGTAGCACGGCCATCGTCCATCTCAGCCTCGCTCTCAACGCTAGATGCATCCGATAGCAATTGGAGGCCTGCTGCTACTTCGTGCTGTGAGCCAGCAGCTTCAATATCTCCAGGTGACAAACTAAACGCTCGTGGCACTGCAGCCTGCGAGAGATTGACGTCGTAATCGCTATCCGACCCAAACAAATCGTCCAGGGTGCGTTGAGACAGCTTCGCGCTCGTATCAATCTGCGAGGCAAAGATACCGCTGCCCTCGGCGTATTCCGTAGTGGGGCTGACGTTGTCCTCGTGATTTCGATATCCTTAACGGCAGTAGCGACAGCGGCCGTCTTCCCACGCTAGGTCGATCGGATGTGCGCCATCCGTCAAGTTCTCGAATGAAATGCAAACTACCCCCAATCTATCCTGTCCTACGTGTCGTATTCATCGTATCTCACTTCCACACCCTACCCCTGCTGGGGTTTTGCTCATCGTTCATTTGGTCTATCACATCTTATATACTTGCAAGTATCTTGAATAAAGTATTGTCCTTAGATTTTTATTATGTCGCACCCGCTATGTCGTAACTTACGACATAGATGGCGTAAGTTACGACGTCGGGAGCCAGGAGGTCAAAGCAACCAGTGTATAGCACTGAAGCCTTATTTCCTGTGGTATACGAAGCGGCCCACCCTCAGTACATAAAATAGGTCACGTTCTGCCAATTTTAAGTGAAGTACTAAAACGTCAATTTGGAGACGATGACCACAAAGTAGGGATAACAACCCGGATACGACTACTGCTTTACGTTTTGTTACACTCCAAGCACGAGTCGAAGCAAATAAGAGCGAATAATTAAATGCTAATCGCACGTCTTACCTTAAGTTGTCGCTGGCTGAGAGCGGCAATAAGAAACTGTTCAAATCGAATACTTATTTATAACCTCAACTCCCGTTAGCGTCGTTAAATTCAAACGCTGAACTGATAAAATTCAAGATTGAGAACAATTTTTATGCTACGAAGCTAGAAAAATCACAAACTAAACTCTTTCTCAAGACACCGCCAGTAGATGAAACACAAGCATACTCTACACAGACCCAGTTGGTATTATCACAGCTAAAGTCGCAGTCGCATATCCTCTAGACTCGAAATCATTCTCTCGAGACGTAGAGCAAGACGTCTACACAACAGTTATGATAATGTCATCAACACTTGAAATGTAAGACTGCAGCATTACAGCGGCAGCCCGAGAAAGCAACCAGAATTGAGACCGATGTAACAAACTCAAGACCACGTATGCCACGATAAACTTGCTTGGAGGAACCGGCTGACAGCTGCTTCGTAGCGTTTAAAGCACAAACAATAACCAGTTAGAAGCGTAGCTAAAAACCAGTTAGAAGCGTAGTTCAAAATTGCGGAGAGAAAAAAATCCGTGAGTCGAAGGTCAGAGCGAAGAAAGCTGGCAAAAAGCGACGAATAGCTGAAGCCACGACTACCGAGCTGGAAGAAAAGTTGAAGCAAGACAATCACGAGCTCTCATCTGCTAATAACTCGGTTCAATGTCGAACAAATGAAGTACGAACTCTCGGGGCTGCGCAAGGCACACCGTACTGAAGCCACGTTATCGTTCGAGCAGGAAGACAAGACGCAGTCGAAGTCAAAGGTTTGTGGTGAAGAGATCGAGTGGAGAGGTGCTTGTGCGTTGGAGCTCAAAACCGACAATGACCTTCGGTTTTGAGCTGCAACGCACATGCACCTCTCCACTCGCTGTAGCCACTGCGATCACTTCTGAACTGCTAGACTTCAGAGTGATAAGAACGCACGTAAACTTCAGCATATGCAATAGGTTCGAGTCTCTTGTCTTGAAACTAGAGGTTGCAGATCTCATTGCCATCACACCTGTGTTTCCGGGGCAAGTTGTGCCACCGTAAACCGCTTTAGGTTTACAAACAACATACTGTACTTTTATCAAAAATCTCGAGAAATACATGTGGGGTGGTATGTGCTTGGTATATGCAATTTAATGAGGCACCACCGTCACTGACTCAGCATCGCGACAAGAGCTATAAAGAAACTAGCCGAGCGCCGCCGATACGCGGCGGTAGTTTAGGTTTTATATTAGATGTTTGCCTTCCCGCCCCCGCTTCGCTTCGGCGTAGCCAGCGTACAGCGAACTCATGCCTACAGTGCTAGTTGGTTTTCGTAGGCTTAGAAAGAGCTGGTATTCGCAGCCTCGTGCGCTACAGGCAATAGCAAAATCGCAGGAATAATGGTCCATAGCAGTGCTAGTGTGAGTGCCAACTTTAATTCGCACATTGTGACGAAGATACGTCGTTGCTCAGTAGTTACTGCAGCTGGCGTGATTGCCCACATTCACGGATTTACAGGTATGGCAAAACATTATTATAATTCTTTTAAGAACCTACGTGTGCATGTATAATGACCTGTTCGATCGTAGTTATTCGTGATTTCTTAGCACTAGCGGTCTTAAACTCGTCCAAATACCGTACAGGTGCTAACAAGTTCAACAGAATCTCGTTACTTAAACGCGTACTAGCTCCAACTACACCCCTTCAAACGACCATTTTTGATGAAGGATATCGGCCACGACCCAATGCTGGCGTGAGCTGTGTATCCCACAGTGTGTAGTGTAAGCCACGGAAGGCGTTGACCTGGCACCAGAAGCTGGGGAAATATTCGCGGAGTGCGAGTCACGCTGTCACCGACACGCACCATGACCGGGATGGTCGTCCGTTCATCCAGATGAAGAGTGCAAAAATCAATAACGATCAACGACGGTTTGTGGAAGTGCTATATCGTGTAGTGACATTTGCAGACTGCAACTTGCAACACCTCATAAAACTTGCAGCACCTCTAAAAATCGGGAAATACATCGCTCACAGAGACGCACCGCGAGCGGAAATACTGCGCAGCACAAGTGTGTCCTGATGCGGTGTAAGTAGTACAGCGATACGGCAAAGATTATCGTTAAGACTGTGACAATAAAACCAGCAGTACCAACTACCAATGCTATAGCAGAGGAGTTACCATGTTGATAAGAGGTGGGGGGGGGGGCTGGGAATGTACGAGGTAAGGAAATATCGTCTTGGCAATATGTAGGACAAAGTAGCCATCTGCTGTTGCATTTGGGGATCGGTATTGCGGAACGACAAGTTACTGGTAGTCGACCAGTGGTAGATATCGATATCGAATTTCAACACAATCAAATGATTCGCAGTCGCCAACTCTATTCGGCAGTGCCATTTATGCCTACTGAATGAACTGTTACGGTAGCATGACTTTATGTCGTGCGAAAGTGGTAGTACCAGTTTCGGTACAACTTACGGAGCTTCGTGTACTCTTCGGCAGGAATCGTGTTGCCAAGCTTGACAGGGTTGTAGCCCCGACCACTCAATCGATTAAAAAACTTCAATAGTTTTCCATCCACGTCTGCGGCTTTTACATTCTTGGCCAACCCCGCAAAATCGTCAAGCTTGGCGGCGTTGAAGAGGTTGGCACCGTACCTTCTTTCTTTCTGTTGTCTTCGTTGTCTTCGTCGTCTTCGCTGTCCTCGTTTTCATCCTCGAGCTCGCTGCGCAGTAGCGTCTTTCTATCGTGTTGCTCCGTACCGGGAGAAACACGCACATCGGACACTGTGTCCGTCGAAACTTCGGGCGCGCGAGCGGATGTTGGGGCTGCGCCGCAACTGTTTGTGAGAACAGCGATCGCAGCTGCAGCGACTAGGACGCAGGACACACGCATTTGCAGTAGGTGGGTTGTCTTGATTTGATACTGTGGGGCAAGAAGGTAATTGAAGAATAAGCTGTTATGAGAGCATGCGTTGTGAGAAGTAATCTACAAGTGCAAAAAAGAAGTACCAGTTAAATCTGATGAGCGGCAAATCGTAGATTACGCCACAGTTTGAAAGCTACTACAGAAGTCCCCCTCACTAAGCGTAGGAGGCGATTTGATCAATTATCTTAGGAAAAGCAGTGCATTCTGGTGTATATCCTCAATTCATGTGATCAGATATAAAGGGGTATATGAGGTGCAAGCTACGTTTATTAAGGGGGACTTTTGTATAGGGACCTGGATGGGAAGCCATTGGAGCATTTCAATCGATAGATCGATCGCGCAACACGATTCGTTGCGACGTGTAGGCCAAACTCCGTCAGTTGTGCTTTATCTGGCATTACCACTACATGTAGACTGCGTCAACATGTCATTAGTCCGGGTTCAGTAGGAAATGACGGACTGACGACAAGAGTTGACTCATTTGGATTGTGTTTCGATTGCAAATCCGTGACCGTGTACTACGTCAGGGTATCGGATGTTTTTGTTGGCATCGCGACAGTTGCAGAAACTTTTGAGCAACGACGTACATGTATCTTCTTCACAAAGTGCGTACTAAAGTTGGCACTCACAATAACACTAGTATTGTGTAGACATACCTCACAGCTCTTTCTTCATGCGATTTTTCTATTGCCGATGATGCACGAAGCAGCGGAGACGAGCTCTTTCTAAGCCTACGAAAGCGAACCAACACTGTAGACACAACTTCGCTGTAGGGTCGTCTTGTGCGCTGTCGTAATTGGACCACGTCATCTAAAATATCTACACTGTATTATCTGTCGCGCTTTTACGGATAAATCATTGGATTAAAATAAGTATTATAAGGAAGTGAGTATTTTGCCTGACTGGCTAACCGCAGCCAATTAACTGAAACTGTATTGTGTAGCTACATCAGTAAATTCATGTGTTTCCCAGTGTACATATGGGGATTTGCACAAGGCTATCCATTATCCGAAGAGGCGGCCATCGTTTTGATATTATAACTACATTTAATAATAATGTATGTTGTTGTTGATATTCAAGTGCTAAACTGAGGGCCAATGCATACAGGGTGCTTAGCGTACACGAAAGAATGCGTGTTTCCGAGGACATGCTTGTAGTATACTAAATACTCTGTACTCAGTAGTTTCTGTGAGTTACAATGGCTATAATGATAACTACAATTGTTTTGTTGTAAAGATATTAAGTTATCTGAGGTGTTTCTATGACTCATTGAAATCCACTCAGACTATGAGCAATACCTCATATTAATTGTACCAGTATGAGGTATTGCTAAATCGTACATGTCACAGTAGCCGGACGTAAGGACTGGCCGTAACTTACGGCGTAAGAAGCTTTCTTAACCCCCCCAACGCGAGAGCTTCTGGCTGCGCCCATTTCCCGAAACCCCATATACGATACTATTTATCTCAAAGATGGGAACACATAGTTAAGTCTAGTTGCTAGTTATCATGTCTTGGCCACAGCCAGGGCACACCCCAAACCCCACGCCTTGATTGC